CCCCCCCCCCCCCCAAAAAAAAATCATCTAAGTCACACAGATCTCATTATCACAGATAACACACTTCAATGACGTCCTAGATTGTCGAGGACACCAATTTCTAGAGCACAATTAATCTACAACCCAAAAGCGCTGCGCTATTCGTGTGTGAGAAATCAGCACATGTTGCCAGGTCACGTGTTTGACGTCATATTTTTTTTTTTACAAATAGCCTTTCATTAAATCTATCGACAAAGAGTCTCAGATACTGCAAGCATGGACGTGACATAAAATTAACTACCCTATTGTAAGAAAAGAAATACTAAATTAATAAAATATAAAAATGACTCAACACTCCTTAAAATACGTCAATATTCCCATATCAAATTAGGTTAAGAGTGTTACCTAACAAGGGTCGCGAACGGTACAGTTTTAGGACCGCTGCCTAATTTTGCTCCGTCTTTTTCGTGGACGCCACGATTCTTTCAGCCGGTAGTCTTTCCAGAGAGCAGAGTCTCAGAGGTAGATTCATTTTGTCAGCCTGACCGTAATTTGAAATACCATCGGACATCATGAAGACCATGTTGTGCTTAGTTGTCGTTTTGATTGGAGCTGTCCACATTGCACAGAGTAAGTTGTGTGTTCAGTTTATCGTTAGAGCAGATTTTCTTCCATATTGACTCTTTTTTTTAGCATATTTTTAACATAAAGTTTTACTATTTGTACCGAATGCTTTTCTTGACGTAACCCATAGGAGCGGTGTTCCTATACATAAACTTTTTTTTTAAATTTTTTTTTTTTTTTAAAATACATGATTGAATATTTATTCGGGAGGAGGATGGTGGGTGAGAAAACACGCTTTTATTACTCAAATTTCGACCTAACCGTCAATGCCGACCTAACCGTCAATGCCGACCTAACCGGCAAGGTTGACATAACGAGGAATATTCACGTGACCAGCAAGGTTTACCTAACCGGCAAGGTTGACATAACGAGCAATATTGACCTGACCAGCAAGATTTACCTAACAACAATGAACGATCTAACCGGCAGTGCCCACGTAACCGGCAAGGTTGACATAACGAGCAATATGGACCTGACCAGCAAGATTTACCTAACAACAATGGAAGACCTAACCGGCAATGCCCACCTAACCGGCAAGGTTGACATAACGAGCAATATTGACCTGACCAGCAAGATTTACCGAACAACAATGGACGACCTAACCGGCAATGCCCACCTAACCGGCAAGGTTGACATAACGAGCAATATGGACCTGACCAGCAAGATTTACCTAACAACAATGGACGACCTAACCGGCAGTGCCCACGTAACCGGCAAGGTTGACATAACGAGCAATATGGACCTGACCAGCAAGATTTACCTAACAACAATGGACGACCTAACCGGCAATGCCCACCTAACCGGCAAGGTTGACATAACGAGCAATATTGACCTGACCAGCAAGGTTTACCTAACAACAATGACCACCTAACCGGCAGTGCCGATCTAACCGGAAATGCCGACCTAACCGGCAAGGTTGACATAACGAGCAATATTGACCTGACCAGCAAGGTTTACCTAACAACAATGACGACCTAACTGGCAGTGCCGACCTAACCGGCAATGTCAACCTGACCACCCGAGTTGACCTAACCAGCAACGTCAATCTGACCAGCAGAGTTGACCTAACCAGCAACGTTGACCTAACCAGCAAGGTTGACCTAACCAGCAAGGTTGACCTAACCAGCAGGGTTGACCTAACCAGCAGGGTTGACCTAACCAGCAAGGTTGACCTAACCACAAGAATAAATAAATGAAGGGACTGCTTTCAAGCTATGTAAAAGAATGAAATGGTGAAACGAGGTATGTGGAAGCTTGAAATAAGGTAACAGGACAAAAAACAAGGACGTTTCGGCATAAAGCCTTCATCAGCCAACAATAGAAATGAAAATACAACAAAGAAAAGAACACAGTAGAAAACTCAAGCAGTGTGTTCTTTTCTTTGTTGTACTTTCATTTCTATTGTTGGCTGATGAAGGCTTTATGCCGAAACGTCCTTGTTTTTTGTCCTGTTACCTTATTTCAAGCTTCCACATACCTCGTTTCACCATTTCATTTTTTGACCTAACCAGCAGGGTTGACCTAACCAGCAAAGTTGACCTAACCAGCAAGGTTGACCTAACAAGCAAGGTTGACCTAACCAGCAGGGTTGACCTAACGAGCAATATTGACCTGACCAGCAGCGTAGCTGTAACAACAAAAAAATAAAATAAAATAAATCACAACCTATCCAACAACAGTGATTTCATAAAAAAAAAATTATGTTGATATTTATTTCTTTTCAAGCTGGGAATTCATGTAAGAGAACAACTATAAGGGAAAGGGCAATAAAAGAAAACCACGATAGTAACTTTTCTTTGATGTCAACAACAAGATTAGTTCTAAAATGTAAAATAAATCCAAAGTCTATTATAGCAGAGATCCGTTTTGTTTTAAAAATCCCACGCCAGACTGGCCGCCGTCTTTCGATTTCTAATAGTTGAAGTTGGGGAAAAAAAAAGGGGGGGGGGGTATGTGTGATGCGTGTGTGTTTTTTGTGTGTGTTTTTTGTGTGTGTTTTTTGTGTGTGTGTGTTGTTGTTGTTTTTTTTAAATCAGTGTTTAGTTTCTTTCCAAGAAAAACTGGCCTACAATTCTATTTGACTTTTCTTTTTTTTTTCTTTGGGGGNCATCGTAAATGTCTTGTTATAAAGCCGAAGTGTGTTTCATGACAACAGGAAAGAAACAGAATCTAAAGCATACTATAAAACGTAAATATAACACTTAGTATGTTCTTATTTCGTTAGGGATTTCAGCCCCATTCTGAGTCTTTTCTTTCATGTTTAGGAATAGGTAGGATATACACATATATTATGTTCATTAAATGTATAATTATATTTATGTTTTTTTTTATTATATTGATGAAATCATTGGCTGAGACGTTTGAATTTGCCATTGGTCTCTGGAAAAATGAAAGCTTAACATATTATTCTTTTCTACTTACAATTTACAATGAATTGTTCGTGTGTCATTAATCTTCTTAAAAGCATTTTGCAGTCCATACCTTGTATATTAGGCCAACATGTTACAAACATAATTATAAAACACAGTATGTTGTGTCATATGTTACAAACATAATGATAAAATACAGCATGTCATTTCGTTTGGCCTTGAACTTGATAAAATTAACACACTATCTGTTACAAGTTAAGGTTAAGAATGAAATAATCTCGCAATTCATGTTGTTCCAGTGAGACTATTTCCCATTCATCATTTTTTTTAACCCAAATATCATAAAAACATGTCTGCGTATCGCCTTATCACACATCAAGACGTCACCCTACCAAAAAAACCTCAACATATCAACCTGTTATCCTATATCAACGTATCGGGCTATCAACCTATCAATGCTCTTTCCCGCATGTGCAGGCCTGCCAGCCCTTGGGACGTGCACTCTCGGCATTGTCAACTGTTTTGTCGAGCCTTGCCGGTTCTCAAAATGTGCGGTCGAAGGTGCGACGTGTGGGTGAGTAAACGGGTCCAATGCATTTAGCTGCTTGAAGACCTCATACATGTTATGAAAGGGTGGGGGGGGTGGTGGTTCCTTAGCTCACTAGTAAGAACGTTTTACGTATATAGATGGTCAGTAATCTACTTGATACCACCTTAATCCTCGTAAATGCTCATTGTAAACTTGGCTGTCGGTGCGCAGATGGCCCATGAGGCCGATTCTAGTACGAAATTTTCTTGTGCAGCAAGTGCCAGGGATTGGGTAATACCATTGCGGAGGCTTAACCAAGGGGGGTGACGCGACAATAAGACACAAGATTGGGGCGACTGAGAGCATTTGCTACGGGCAACGCCATTTCAAAGTTCGCTCTTCAAATGTTTCACTGTATCTGGAAACCTGAGATATTTAAAAACGGGTGAGACAACTAACAAGGATGTCTCTGAAGAATGTCTTCTTCCCCGAAACGATAAAAAAAAAAGGGGGTAACATTGAAGGGCTAGAAAAGAAATTAGAGATCTGTGTTAGACATTGATACTATCCTTTATACGGCCTTTCCCATGTATTCTATTTGTTTTTGTTTTTGTTCCAGCGATGACTACTGTGGTGGATGCAATGCCCGGTGGTACGTCGGCGGCAAGGAAGTGACCAGTCAGTGCGCGGCTGTTGCCGAGGCGTGAGTGTCACGTGGATAACGTCGGCGAGATTCCGTTGGACGAGAGAGTTGCACTCTTTTTTGAGAAGCAGGCTTGGCTGATTACAAACATTAATTAAAAATTGCTTTAATAAATATGAGCTTATATTATAATGGACAATTACTTTATGGCTATTCTAATGTAATTTATTTCAGGTATAGATGTTCTTGTAATAGATGTTCTTGCAATGTCTGTTCTTGTAATGTATTTTCTTGTAATGTATTTTCTTGTAATGTATGTTCTTATAATAAATGTTCTTGTAATGTTTGTTCTTGTAATACATTTTCTGGTTATAAGTGTTCTTGCAATACATATTCTTGCAATATATGTTCTTGTAATAAATGTTCTTGTATACATTTTCTTGCAGCAAATGCTCCCGCAACACATGCTCTCGTACAACATGTTCTTCTAATACATTTTCTCGCTATACATGTTCTCGCTATACATGTTCTCCTAATACAAGTTCTTCTAATACATGCTCTTTTCAGACGTATGTAACAGACGCTTTTTAAATCGTTTATTGTTTTTTGTATTTGTATCCTTTTTCTTTGTTTTTGTTTTTGTTGTTGTTGTTGTTGTTTTGGCTATCTCTTTGAAAAAAAAAATTTAAACTGGGCCCGTCTGATCCTAGGGGTAAGCTAAAATTTGAGGTTTGGGGTGGGGGGAGAGATCCTTAAGAATCGATGCGTCGCATAGATGGACTCATTCCGAAATGTCCATTTCGAACAGATGTCGTAATTTACTGTTGTATTGCGTCAATACAAAATCTCAAAAATTGTAAACCACCACCGCATAATGTAAACTACGACCCATTGGTCGTTGGCTGCTTTTTGTATTTTTTTTTTTTTTTTTTTTGGGGGGGGGGGGGTTTGTTGGGTTGTTAGGACCTAGGCCTTGTAGAGGGACATGGAGTTTCCATATCTATTCCGGCCGTTTAAAGAACAATGATGTCTACGTTTGTTTTCGCATTTCTCATGTGACGTTGAATGGGAAGATAGCTTATCGTTGAAAAGGTTCTAAGAGTCTCCAATTTAGCGCAGTGGTCGGCGAATTCATGAGTCAAAAGGGCCACAAACGAGCAGCAGGAAGATTAAAAACTTTTTGAAGGCCACATTTATTTATTAAAAAAGAACCACGTTTTTCGTAGTCAAAACCGATTTGTGGCCGGCTGGCCGAGCCGCACCCAGGTCGCTAAAGAGCCGCATGCGGTTCGCGAGCCGCGATTTGCCGACCACTGATGTAGTGAATAGATGATAAAAGGGGCAATTCATTTACCAACGGATCCCAACGGTAATAGGTAACGACAGTTACAGTTTGAGAGTTGTGAAGTGTGTCGTGACTAAGGTTGGGCATCACCAGGTTCGGTAGCTTGTGATGACGTCTTTGATGGAACTTCCAAACGGTTCAGTGCACACGAGATCATTTGGCCTAACGATGTTGTGAGAACGTGGTGAGAATACGGTGAGAACATGGTGAGAACATGGTGAGAACATGGTGAGAAAATGGTGAGAACATGGTGAGAACATGGTGAGAACATGGTGATAACATGGTAGAGGACATGGAGAGAACAAGGAGGGAACATGGGAAGAGCATTGTTAGAACGTGATGAGAACTTGGTGACAAACAGTAAGTACATCATGAGAACATGATTATAACATGGTGAGAACATTGTTACGAAAGTGGTGAGAACTTGGTGACAAACATAGTAAAAATATCATGAGAACATGATTATAACATGGTGAGAACATTGTTAAGAAAGTGGTGAGAACTTGGTGACAAATATAGTAAGAACATCATGAGAACAAGATTATAACATGGTGACAACATGAATATAAGATTGTTAGGATGTAGTGAGAACATGGTGAGAAAATTGTGATAACCTTTCGAGGAGAAGGCTGTACGATATCGGCATGATAGTATCGCGCAGCGAGAAGCTCACACCAGCTGACCAGTGTGTCGCGTGGTATCAGAAAGCCCTAATCAGGGCCCTTCTCCCAACCACTCGAGTCGACATACCCCATTGACGCCAGTTTGATTACATCCACATAAAAGACGAAAGATGTTTAATTAAAACAGACTGGTTTCAGGAAAAAAAGTACTGTTAAAAAAATTCGTGTACTATTTTTAGCCTGTGGGCTAAATGATATAAGACATTGATAATAGCCAGTCATTTGTTTCTTGGCTTGGCCTCTTTTTGCGGAAAAACCCCCTCTATTCCTTTGTCATGAATCATTGCTGTAAAAAGCGTGGTTTTTTTCATGAGTCAGTGCTGTATACAACAGTTTTTGACATGAATGATTGCAGTATACAGTGTTAAGTACCATACGTGCATATCTATGAGTTAATTATCCATGGTATTGTATACACTAATTTCGTGACAGTGTTTGTTTATCCAAAAAAAAAAAAAAATCATCCGAAACACCCTTGGCCCTAAATAAGTTCGGATAATCGACGCTCTGCTGTAATATTAGTTCAGTCTGGAGGGTAACTTGAACCGGAAGCTCGGGCAATCGTTGCCGAAGCAACGGCAGTAGCTCCGATCTTTTCGAAAGATGCTGAATTTGAAGTCCCGGAGATCGAGCAAATGGTGTGTCCGTGTTACAGCCATTACAGTAGGTGTGTTTGTATCTGAACTGAAAGGGTTAGAGATTAGTTTGGAAATGTAAAAATGTTTGTTAACAAAGAAATCGCTTGAATTAAAAAAAAACAGAAAACTTTGTGGAGACGATGACCTCAGATAAGACAGCTCTCATCTCGTGTGTTGGAGTGGAAAGGTTTTCAATGATCTTGGCACCCATATTTCAAGTACAATACAAGGCACGCAGACAGTTGCGGAACTTGGGTTAGAACCGCTTGGAGGGGGGGGGGGGCGAGTAGTATGCCAACTGGGTTGGAACCGCCCGGGGGGGGGGGTGAGTTTTATGCCAGCCCCTTCCACTTTTAACGAAAAAAACAAAAAAAAACAAAACCAACCGAAAAACTCTGCAGTTGAACGAACATGCTGTCTGTCCTCTGTATAAAGCAATGGTATTGCCCGGGGCGCACGCTCGTATATATGGCACACGGCAACACGCTCAGTCGGATTAACACAGTCACAAGCACAATCAAGTAAACGCACAGTCACAAGCACAATCAAGTAAACACAGCCAGACACGCAAAGGTTACGTATTCATACCCACACACATTACTGACAGACACGCGAACACAGATGTCGCGTAGCCTCGATAACAAATGTGTCACTCAGCCACATATAACCATCAAGGTGCGACGAAGATTAAACAGTTGAGTTGACGTTGATGTAAATTGGTTCAAATAATCTTTAAACCGAAAGTCTGCTCTTTTTTTTTTTTTTGTATGAGAACAGCACATGTTGTGTAGTCACGTGATTGTGCTTCATATTTAAAGACAAATCCGTAAATGGTCTCCAACGTTGTTTGCTAGGCCACAACATAATATTCGTAATAATATATGTTGCAACACATATTGTTAGATTATCGGGTAATTATTAATACAACACTCGAATAACTTTTAAACAATTATGCGTCAATATTTTTTTATATCGATTTTGTATTATTAAAAGTTTCTAACACGTGGGGTCATGACGGTAACAGATTTAGAAGCACTGCCAACGTAACATGTTGCCGTTTCGGAACGTCATGACGCGTTCAGCTGATGGTCTTACACGAGGAACGAGTCTGACGAGTAGATCTAATTCGACAGACTGACCAAACATAGTGTAACCGAATTGGATATCATGAAAACAATGTTGGCCTTGGCTGTCCTTTTGGTTGGAGTGGTCCAGATTTCCCAAGGTAAGATTGTTGTCCAGTTAATGGTTCTAAAAATTAATTTTATATAGCATTCATCTTCTCGAGTCTTCCCAATGGCAATAGGATATCTGTCTGCGTGATGAAATGTAAACATTCCAACGCACAGATTTATCAAGAGCCATCCGTTCAAAATGTCAACATACCAGCATGTCAACATGCCAGCACATCCATATACCAGCATGTCATCTTACCAACATGTTAACATATCACCATGTCCACATATCACCATGTCAACATATACCACCAAGTTAACATATCAGCATGTCAACATATCACCATTTCAACATACCAGCATGTCAATGTATCACCATGTCAACATAGCGACATGCTAACTTATCATGTCTATACAAAGCAACATGCGAATCTTTCAACATATCAGCCTGTCTACATTCTTCGTTATCAACATAATATATATAATATTCAAACATGTAATAACATACTATACAAACATATAATAACATACTATTCGAACATATAATAACATACTATTCGAACATATAATACCATACTATTCGAACATATCAACGTTTAATTACCAACATATAAAAATATCAGCTTCTTGAATAATCAGCACGCCAAATGATCAACATGTCTACATATCAACATTTCAACACATATAGATACCAACCTACCTTAACATGTCTCCACATCAACGTGACCATTTTGTCAGCATGTCGGCATCTTCTCCACAGGTGCAGCTCTGCCAGCCCTTGAGCCATGTTCCCTTGGCCTCGTCAATTGTTTCGTCGCCCCGTGCCAGGTCGCCCAGTGTTCGGTGACGGGCGCCCTGTGTGTGTAAGTCAATCACATCAGTTGGCTACGTTAAAACCAAATCACAAGTGGCGATTGTAGGAAACAATTAATGTGCGAGTTCTTTTTTTTTTTTTGGGTGTCAACTTGTATTTCTTGGTGTTGTAATATAGCGCATGGCTTGGCTAGTTTTGTTTTTTTTACTTTAAGGTAGATCAATCACATCAGTTGGCTACGTTAAAACCAAATCACAAGTGGCGATTGTAGGAAACAATTAATGTGCGAGTTCTTTTTTTTTTTTTTTTGGGTGTCAACTTGTATTTCTTGGTGTTGTAATATAGCGCATGGCTTGGCTAGTTTTGTTTTTTTTACTTTAAGGTAGTGCTATTTTAAGTCACAATCACGTGTCTCGTTCGCATGACCTTGATATTGACGTCACCAAGAAAATGTGCTGTGTCACTCCTTTCTTGCTCGTTTTTTTTTCCTTGTCTGGGAAAGTTTGTTTACATTCGAACGCGTTCTATTTATACTTAAAAAATGCCATGA